CCCCCAGCCCCCCAAAACCCCCCCGGTGCCCCCCCACCCCCCCCTTGGGACGTACTCATTGGGAGAGACGCAGTCTTTGATGTAGGCCTTCTCCAGGGCCTGCAGGGTCTTCACCACGGCAAAGAGCTCGGCCATGTTGTCGTACCTGCAAGGCCAACGGGGGAGCAAGGTGGGCAACGGGGGACACAACGGGGGGGACCACGATGAATTAGGGGACCATGATGGAGAACAGTAGCCCACGACCAAGAATGATGGCCCAGGAGGGACCATGATGGAGAATTAGGGGACCGTGATGGAGAAGAGTAGCCCATGACCAAGAATGGTGGCCCAGGAGGGACCACGATGGAGAATTAGGAGACCATGATGAAGAACGGTGGCCCAGGAGGGACCATGATGGAGAAGAACGGCCCAGGAGGGACCATGATGGAGAATTGGGGGGACCACAATGAAGAACAGTAGCCCATGATGAAGAATGGTGGCCCAGGAGGGACCATGATGGAGAATTAGGAGACCATGATGAAGAATGGTTGGCCCAGGAGGGACCATGATGGAGAATTAGGGGACCGTGATGGAGGACAGTAGCCCATGATGGAGAATGGTGGCCCAGGAGGGACCATGATGGAGAATTAGGGGACCGTGATGGAGGACAGTAGCCCATGATGGAGAATGGTGGCCCAGGAGGGACCATGATGGAGAATTAGGGGACCGTGACAGAGAATGGTTGGCCCAGGAAGGATTACGACCAAGAATTAGGGGACCATGATGGAGAAGAGTAGCCCATGACGAAAAATGGTGGCCCAAGAGAGACCATCATGGAGAACTGGGCAACCGTGATGGAGAATGGTCAGTCAGGAGGGACCATGATGGGGAATTAGGGGACTATGATGGAGAACAGTAGCCCATGATGGAGAACGGTGGCCCATGATGGACAACGGTGGCCCACGATGGAGAACGGTGGCCCAGGAGGGACCATGATGGAGAATGGTGGCCCAGGAGGGAGAATGGTGGCCCAGGAGGGACCATGATGGAGAACGGGGGGGACCACAATGAAGAACAGTAGCCCATGATGAAGAATGGTGGCCCAGGAGGGACCATGATGGAGAATTAGGAGACCATGATGAAGAATGGTTGGCCCAGGAGGGACCATGATGGAGAATTAGGGGACCGTGATGGAGGACAGTAGCCCATGATGGAGAATGGTGGCCCAGGAGGGACCATGATGGAGAATTAGGGGACCGTGATGGAGGACAGTAGCCCATGATGGAGAATGGTGGCCCAGGAGGGACCATGATGGAGAATTAGGGGACCGTGACAGAGAATGGTTGGCCCAGGAAGGATTACGACCAAGAATTAGGGGACCATGATGGAGAAGAGTAGCCCATGACGAAAAATGGTGGCCCAAGAGAGACCATCATGGAGAACTGGGCAACCGTGATGGAGAATGGTCAGTCAGGAGGGACCATGATGGGGAATTAGGGGACTATGATGGAGAACAGTAGCCCATGATGGAGAACGGTGGCCCATGATGGAGAACGGTGGCCCATGATGGAGAACGGTGGCCCAGGAGAGACCACGATGGAGAATTAGGGGACCATGATGGAGAATGGTAGCCCATGCTGAAGAATGGTGGCCCAAGAGAGACCATCATGGAGAACTGGGCAACCGTGATGGAGAACGGTGGCCCAGGAGGAACCATGATGAATGGTGGCCCATGATGGAGAATGGTGGCCCAGGAGGGCCCATGATGAAGAATGGTGGCCCATGATGGACAACAGTGGCCCAGGAGAGACCATGATGGAGAATTAGAGGACCATCATGGAGAACTGGGCAACCATGATGGAGAATGGTCAGCCAGGAGGGACCATGATGGAGAACGGTAGCCCATGATGGAGAACGGTGGCCCAGGAGAGACCATGACCGAGAACGGTGGCCCAGGAGGATCCATGATGGAGAACGGTGGCCCAGGAGGAACCATGATGGAGAACGGTGGCCCATGATGGAGAACGGTAGCCCAGGAGGGACCACGATGGAGAATGGTAGCCCATGATGGAGAACGGTGGCCCAGGAGGGACCACGATGGAGAACGGTGGCCCATGATGGAGAACGGTGGCCCAGGAGAGACCACAATGGAGAATTAGGGGACCATGATGGAGAACGGTAGCCCAGGATGGAGAATGGTAGCCCAGGATGGAGAATGGTAGCCCAGGAGGACCAGGGATGGCGACGGGCGTCCCAGGAGGGCCCGCGGTGGGTGGAGCAGAGTGGCCGGTGCCAGAGCGCGGTGGTGGCCCAGGTGACCCCCATCGGGGGGCCATGGTGGCCACCTGGGGGTGGGACTCACTTCTCCCTCTCCCTGGCGTTCTTGTAGAGCTTCACCTCCTGCGGGGACACGGGGGGGGGGCAGCCCAGCCCTGGGCTCGGCCCCGGTGGCCGGTGGCTACTGCCCTGCCCGGGGTGGTGGCCACACTCACCTCATAGAGCTCCGGCTTGTTCCCGGGGGCTGCGGGGGGAGGGGGAGGGGTTAGAGG